GTTCAATCTTATGTTCACTCAATATTCGCCGAATCTTCGCACTCCCTTTTGACCAACGCCGCATGAGCCGGGCTTCTGACCGTAATTTTCACTTCGTATGGCTTCTCTGTTCCAATATCAAACGGCTTCCCAACTGGGATCGGATGTCCCGGAACTTGATGGAAGTCGAAACAGTAGACGACCCGCGCGATCAACAAGTGGAGACTGTTGCTGGCAATGGTCCACCCAGGGCATACTCGGCGGCCTATTCAGATCAAACGGTCAGTAACTTGGCTATGATAGATACTAAGGGCCGCGTTGCTTAACTCACCTGTTCCAAATGCCAAGTGTCCCTTGATCGGCTTGTCCACGTCATCGTTCATGAACCTCTCAGGCCAGAATCGCTCAGGCTGCTCATACTCGGAAGAACTCATATGCAGGCCCCAGCTGTTCCACATGACACTTGTCCCTGCGGGAATGTTGAATCCTTCGAAAGAGTCATCCTCGATCAGGGAGTGCGGGATTTCGGGGAGTGATATACTAGACCATGGTTGTTAGACTACCATACGTGACGCTAGGTAAGCAGACTTACTTCCAACGCAGAACTTCCTTACTGATTGCTTTTACGTAAGGCAGATTGGTAATATCGCTGGCAGTAGGAAGCCTCTCAGCATTAGCACCACAAATATCATCCAAATCCTTGCGTGCTCGCTGAATCCAATCGGGAAACAGGGCTGCACCGGCCATCAACTGGTTCAAAGCCACACGTGTGGTGTCAGATCCGGCCTCAATGAGGGAACCTCCCAAGAACACAGTCGACTCATAATCAAGGGCCTTGTCTCTTCCAAGCCTCTTGAACTCAGACATGAAACACGTCACATTTTTGCCTTGTGCTTCTCGCTCCGCGAGGCCTTCATACTCTTCGATGAAGTTCCTAGCTGAAAGTCAACAACCGTACCTAGAAGGGGAGCTACGGAGTGGTCGGAATGTACCTCTTGGATGCTTCAAAGACACTATCTCCCCACCATCTCCATGGCTGGATAGAGCGCGGGAGGGGAATATATGCCAGGAATGGAAACGCGTCGATCAGACTCGATCCGGGTTCAAACATCTTCATGATCTCGTTGTTTGTGTCAATGATCCTGTCAACGTTGGGATCTCCCAACTTTGTCCTTCTTCCATATACCATGCTCATGATGAGGGAGCTAGCATATCGAGCGTGAGCCTGGTGCCATAGGTCCGGCTGCGTGAGATAGTCATAGAGCAATGTCCGTGACTCCATGTCCTGCAAAGGGGCAAAGACATTGCGGTTTCCGGGGCCGATGATTTCGTGGATGAGCTTGCGCTCCCACTTCCAGAGATTACCGTACGGCATGAAGACGACGCGTTTGCCACCAGAGGCAACATCGCCTGGCATAGGTAGATTCTGTCGCGAAATATACCGAGCCCCGCGCTTGTCCAGTATTTCATTCGCAACGCGCTGAGAGTTGATGAACATTAAGTAGTTGGAACCGACTTTGAGTGTGAATCTGTGCGAAACAAAACGTCAGCATTGCATTTTTTGCAGTTATAGACCCATTCAACACCATACATTTCACCGTATTTTTTAGCCAGACCATGAAAGTAGAGGCGCCGCTCCGCAGTATCAGTTGGGATTTGGAACATATTTCCAAAGAAGGGCAGTCCTCCAGGCACGAGATTGGGGAAACTGTATTTTTGACGGAATGAGATGAAGAGATATGCTTGATAGAGAATCCATAGTAACACCAATGTGCCAGCAAGCAACGACACTTGGGAATGTTTTTCAAGCAGCTTCATATTGGTTTCAATTGTTGAGGTTGAAAGTTAGATCGGACTCGGTTGCTGTCTGCAATGATATCTACTAATATAGCCTGGAAACTTATAACGGATGAGTTGGATCGAGGACACGTAATACTTAACACGGTGGGCAGTATGAGCTTGGAGACTTGATGAGACTGTAGGTGGCTTTGATGAATGCTTGTCGAGTTGTGAGAGCTTGGCTTACCCTATAGCTATACAACGAAAGGCCAGCCTAGATGAACTTGAAGCGATAGCCGGACAAGATGGACTATAAGGCTAATAGCGAAGACCCAATGGAGCTGAGAATCTGCAGTTTGGTCTCCAAAATAGCCGAAGCTGTTACTTCTGGAGAGGCATTCATGATTGTATCTCTGCGGGGGTACACCCGCAGTATCATAATCCGTCAAGTCCCCACCGATCATGTTGAGTCAACTCCCCACTTACAGTTTTCCCCACCTGGACACTTCAGTGGCCCAGTGTAGCTCAAAAACCAAGCAATCCGAGAAAAGAAAGAGAATTAGCTAGGGGGGAAAGAAACCGTAACTTATTAGACTGGTTATAGAGCATCAATGGCAGATGTTTCAAAGGCATTGCTGACTGTTATTTCTTTTTACGGGGTATAGATGGGGCATAATTTGGGTGGAGCGAGGTGAAGAGAAGAACAGACTGCCACTCAAAGAAATATCCACCTGAAGCTGCTGAATGAATGTGTAGCATTGGCATCGCCACTAGATAGCCAGCTGGCGAATCGATGGTGGGAAAAGTTAAATATTCGTTAGACTACATCACAAGTTGCTAGAAGTTCCCTTTAATCTATTTTGCGATCCTGACGCCCTCATTGATAACCATGAGCCCAAGTGAACATGCCAACGGTGGGTCTGACAAGACCAATACTCTCAACACCGTCCCATTCATCATTAATGGGAAGGATGTCACGTCCGCAACGACATTCCCAGTAACTAGCCCTGCCAACGCCAAAAAGCTATGGGATGGTTCCGCAGCTACAATCAGCGACGCCCAAGGGGCTGTTGAGGCAGCCCAGGCAGCTTTCGCCTCGTGGTCCCAAACAAAGCCAAGCTTCCGTAGAGACATCCTGTTCCGGGCTGCCGATATTTTCCTGAGCAGGAAGGAAGAGCTGTTCACGTACCAGAGCCAGGAGACGGGTGCGGGCCGGCAGTTCATGGAGATTAATCTCAACGCCACGGTGCAGATCTTGAGGGACATCGGCGGGAGGATCGAGGCTGCAGTTGAGGGATCGGTTCCTGCAACAGCGGAAGAGGGCTCCCATGCCATCATAGTCAAGGAGCCATATGGTGTTGTCCTCGCAATTGCCCCCTGGTATGTGAAGGCGATTAATGACTGCTTCTATACATACATACCTTGCTGACAAACTTCGTCTATAGGAATGCTCCCTACGTGCTCGGAGCACGCTCAGTCGCGTTCGCTCTCGCAACAGGCAACACAACCGTCCTCAAGGGCTCGGAGCTAAGCCCGCGCGTCTTCTGGGCGCTCGGCGACGTGTTCCGCCAAGCTGGGCTGCCCGACGGCTGCCTCAATGTTATTTATCATCGAACGGCCGATGCGGCTGCTGTCACAGAATCGCTCATCGCCCACCGGGCCATCAAGAAGATCAACTTTACGGGGAGCACGCTTGTGGGTAGTATCATCGCCAGCCTCGCTGGGAAACACGTTAAGCCACTTCTGCTGGAGCTGGGCGGCAAGGCCAGCGCCATAGTCCTCAAGGATGCTGACCTGAAAAAGGCCGCTACAGCGTGCGTTCTCGGCGCCTTCATCCACGTAAGTTTTGCCTAGCCCGGTCGAAGTAATGCCCATCATGTTCAGTTCGTCTTGTTTCATTGTTGCTTACAATCTCCTTCCCCAGAGCGGTCAGGTATGCATGTCGACAGAGCGGATCCTTGTGCATAAGTCGGTCGCTGATGAATTCGGCGTCGCCCTCAAAGAAGCCACTGAGAAACTCTTTGGGTCCACAAACCCGCCATTCGTGCTAGTCAACTCAGCGGCTGTGCAGAAGAACAAGGGTTTGATTGCCAACGCGGTGTCCCTGGGCGCGACAACTCTTGTGGGCAATGCCGAGGCCGTCGAGGACCAGCCCACAAAGATGAGACCTGTCATCATCTCCAACGTGTCCAAGGACATGGAGATTTACCACACAGAGTCTTTCGGGCCCACCGTGTCCGTCATTACATTTGAGACAGAGGAAGAGGCTCTCCGCATCGCCAACGACACCGACTACGGGCTCTCGGGGGCCATTTTCACCGAGGACCTCAAGGCGGCGCTGCGGATTGCCCGGAAGTACGAAACCGGGGCGGTCCACATCAACTCCATGACCGTGCACGACGAAGCTTCGCTTGTCCACGGGGGAGCCAAGAAGAGCGGCTACGGGAGGTTCAATGCCTCCCAGGGACTAAGGGAGTTTCTCAGGTACAAGACAATTACATGGAGAGATTGAGGGAGAGTGGACGTTTGGCATGTAGTCGACGCGTACTCGTACTCGGAGAAAACGCGGCATTCAGTGGACCAATAGTAGAAGTTGCTTTCTCAGCCGTCGCTTACCCTATAGGGGCTAGCTCATTCAATCCGGGGTCTCGAAATGTCAATCTGTTTTTCTTCTTCTTTTCTTATTTCTTTTTCCTCCATAAAAGATGGCATCTCCTCCGTGGCTTCTCGCCTTTAGCACATGTACTGATTGCATTGTCGGGAACAAGCCAAATTTGAAAGATCGGCGCCTCAACGCGGCAGTACCTCAGAATGACCCCGCAAAAGATCGGGACTTATTATCAGAACTCCACTCGAGTGCATACACGGTCCGAGAAACTGCCGATGGACTGTAGCGGTGGCTACCTACTCTTCTATTTGACAAGGGTGGGGTCTAGCTGTTGTGACCGGTATTAGAATATTAGCTAAGTGTACTCCGTATCGTTTTGCGCATTAATATGAGGAAAGCTACTTCCTATCATACATGTATGTATGTAGTTGGAAACATCGCTATGGCGGGGATCGTTATAGACCCTGGCTGATTCAGATTCGCTAGGTCCCCCGCAAATCAATCTCATCCCCCGCATTTTCAGCTTGGATTTGTCAATCCCGTTGACATTTGCTTACCCCCGTAATCTCTCTCCCAATCCTTAATTCCCCTCTTCCCTTATCTGCGCTGCTCTCCCCTGCGATGGACTGTTGAGATGTCGTGCGAAGCCACCACCTCTACACAGCAGACTAATCGCGAAAATGTAACCAAGGACTCTACTAAAGCTAGTTACGGCTTCTCTTGTGACCAGTGCAATGCCAAGTTTAATCGCCTTGCCCATCTACGACGCCACGAGCTAACGCGCAAGTCCCTCCATTCTTCATCAATTCTTTCACGACCAGCTAACCATGTCGTCTATGTGTAGATGGAAACGAGAAGCCATACAACTGTCTCTATTGCTCCTTGACCTCTTCTCGCAAGGATGTAATCGTCCGCCACACGAAAAACTTCCACCACGGGCTCGCCAACAGAAAGTCTTCTGGTTTCCGGGGCAGGCGTCGCACCAGTTCCCATCCTGGGGCGTCTGGGCCGAGGGCGCGCAAGAACAACCCCTCACAAGCTTCACCAGCTTCGACGACCGCTCGAGGAGAAGACGACCGCCATTCCGAGGGAGCCGAGAACGCAATTCAGGAAAACGAACAATCCCCGACAGATCACGATAGGGGCGGATCCCAGAGTAGCCAAACGAACTCGCTCGACGACGCCTTGCCCTCTCACCCCGAAATATTCCCTGCCTATTTGCCAGGGAGCCCTCTAGCATTCAATCCTGCATTTATGGATCCCGAGCTCGTCAATCCAAATCTTTCAGAAATGTTCGACCTCGACGCCCTCCTGGCACAGGGGTTTCTCAACGACATGCCAGCTGGTAATCTCCCGGAGCTTCCCATCTCGGGACTGCAACCGCCCAAACCCAGCGTGCCACCCTCTGGCCATGTCCATAGTAAGCCTGCTGGACATCATTTCGTAGCAGACGATAATAACTGCGAGAATGCGAGGGCCAATCTCACCAAATATCCGGCCCACGTACTCGCTTCTCTCCGATTCCCCTCCAAATACGCCGTAAAACGCTTCGTCAAAGCTTTTTTCGAGCACTTCGCGGCGCATATACCCATTGTACATGAACCGACATTTGATATTGCCACCACACCTTGTAAGTAGTATCACCATTAATCGACCAGTAAAAAGGTCTGACCATGGCTCCAATACAGCACCCCTTCTGTTCGCAATCATGGCCTGCGGCGCTGTTTATCTCGGCGAATCCTCCACGTCTATTTCTATGCATGCCGTCGCTGTGCAATTAATTTTCGAGGTAGGAGAAAGCCTCACCGGATCGAGCATTAGAATACCCCGAGTTCGTTAACACAAGACTATAGCACGAGCAGATGGGCGCATTCAAAAAGGTCGACCTCGAGACTCTCGTGTGGATGCTGCAGACATATTTGCTGCTCGGATACTTTGAGATACATTGCGGTTCAGAGGCAAAATCGGGACACGCATTCCTCCACTGCGTCAAGGTTCGCTTGAGTCGTAACTATGGTTGTATGTACGTGCGGCTAACTTGTAGGTCCATAGCTTACCCGAGAAGCCATCAAGGAGGTTCAGACCTGTTCGGTTACATCGTATAAGGACTGGGTTCGCCGTGAGAGCATCAATAGGTATGCTTGCCTTGTCCCTGCGTTGCACACTTACTCATGTGGTACCAGGTGCATCTCAACCACAATCTTGATAGGAGCCTCGTTATGTTCAAAAGAACAGGAAGCATGGCTTGCATGGCCCATTGTTGAAGCCAAATTCGCCCTCCCGTCCAGCACTGCAGACTGGCAACAACCCGAGTCTGGTTTCGAGATCCCGACACAGGTACTTTACAGCGACGAGGCATTGGACGCCATTGTGAATGGCCAAACACCTTCTCAATCTATGAGTGAATTTGGCCTCATCACCGTCGTGTCCACACTTCTCTACCGGATCTGTTCCTTCGAGCTGCTCACAAGCTCACAACACGGGGAATTATATACCTCGTATGCCGAGAAAATGGGTCTGTCGCTGGATGTGCTTGACAGGATTCTCAAGAGGCGCATGGGCCAACAAGACGCTGGGCTGGCTCCAGACTCTACCGTCCACTGCGCAAAGTCAATGCTTGACTCGGCTTTCTATCATCTCTACGCCAGTATTCCGCTATCTGCAATGAAAAAATTACTGTGGTCTTCCGCCACTTTACAGGACGCCGAGATCCTACGCATCTCAAGCGAGGCGAGCTCACCTGATCTCTTGAAAGCATTCGTCCGTGCGGCAGAAGGACTCAGATATGACTGCCGTTTGGGATTATCATATCTCGGCAAAATGGCGCCAATCAAATTCGGTCCAGAAGATGCGGTTGGTGCCTACGAGGGCGGTATGTCATTTGACCTTTTTGATCGTTTGTTCCAAATACTGACCGATATTCTATATAGGTCTCCTCCTGTCCTGGTACCTTCAATTTGCGCAGAACCGCTTGCCACACGTTGGGTCACGCGACACGCTCAATGCCCTGCTAAGCGACAGTTTTGCAGAAGTCTCTGACCTGCGATCTGAGGTTCACGACAGGCTTTCGGCTTTGCCACTCGCTGTATCGGTGACCTTACTCTCAGACGACTCAGTGTGGAAGTGTAAGTGTGATGCCTTTGTCAAAAATGTTGATCACACGCTAACTTGTTGATCTGTACAGGGCCTTCTTTCGTGTCGGAAAGGTTAAAGCTACTGATCAAAAAGCTCGAGGAATCAGACACTACCATACACGTCGCAACAGCCTATGATCCATAGTGACGGGTTGAACATGTTTGTGATGACCGTGTACATAATCAAAGCGTGGATGCACAAGGAAGTGAGCGTTATTCCCACCAAAGAAATTGTTCTAGTGATTATTTAGTTCTGGTATCACGCCGAGAGGTGGAATTACATACCTGGCTTTGATGTTTTGTTTCCATTGTTGCGTTCGAGATCGCCATGCATCACGGGTGGAGTTATAGGAGACAGGGTCAATATTCGAACAGTTGCGCAACCAAGCGCACACAAGTTCCAGAATGTCGTTAGCCACATGGCCTAATTATTGTTTTTACGTGGTTTCACTTTAAAGTTTTATATTGAATCCGACGTGATATAGAGGCTTAACTTTCTCTCCTCGATCTTGAGAAGCTGGCCACAGCTGGTATGGGTGGGTAGAGTGCTGGGTGGGTCGGTGGCACACAGGCGAATGAGTGTCCCCAGCCTTTCCCGCCTGTTTTCCATCGGTCTAAAAGTATCAGTGACAATTATTGTACTTCTTCCGAATATTGCGACTAATCAAAAGCGTTCCAGTCACTAGACAAGCATCATCGACGTCTATTTCTGACTCAAAGCACTACAACCACCATGACCACTCGCAAGGAATACATTTACAAGATCGCCAATGGCGTCTCGGTAGCTGCTGATGTTTACTTCAGAAAGGCTTTTACTTCTTCCAAGCTTCCTATAGGTACGTTGATACAAGCTCCCTTGTTGCGAGCCAATCTTCTGACGCCTCGAGCCGTAGCTTTACACTTTCATGGCGGAAACTTCACGATCGGTTCAAAGGAAATGCTACCACACAGTCAGTCAGAGAAACTCCTGGACTTGGGCTTTGTGGTTGTTTCCGCCAACTATCGGCTTGCTCCCACCATCACCGTCTTCGAAGGGCCAGTCAAAGATGCGTTGGACGCTTATAAGTGGTCGCAGACCAAGTTACCGGAGTTGCTCCATAACGATGCTGGCTTAGATATTGATGGCTCCAGCATTGTGACCTTTGGGCACTCCTGTGGTGGCACTCTGGCACTTCTTATGGTTAGTACGCAAAGTCATTTTGACACAATTATATGTTGATGCAAGATATCTAGGCTAGCTCAGCCCAACCACCCCGTGCCATTCTCGACATCTATGGTATCAAATACTTCACGGACAAGGCCTTCCATACTGCCTTGCCTGCGCCGCCGGGTGCTCCCAAAATCGATCAAGATTTCGTGAGCCAGATATGGAAAGATACCCCTCCCCCAACCACAGCCCCTCCCCCGGTAGGACCGTCCGGGCCTGACTTCTCCAACTATCGCGTCGCATGGATGTTTGACCAGCTGGGCAAGGGAACGCAGCTGAAGACGGTCGTTGGGGACGACAACTATGACCGTGTGGACCCAGCTTCACAATTTTCAAAGGCTCGCTTCCCTCCCACGTTTTTCATCCATGGTACTGAGGACAGGCTGGTGCCCGCGAAGCTCTCACAACAGGCACATGACGAGCTCAAGAGGCATGGAGTAGAGACTGAACTGGTACTTGTAAATGGGGGACAGCACGGCTTTGACGAGAGGGCACAGCCTGGGGATAGCGAATTTGGTCTATTAGAGAAAGGGTTTCATTTCCTCAAAGCTCACGTCTGAGATTGTTAGATGTACTCTACAAAGCCGGGGATAGAGAGGCTACAGCTACAAGGCACAGTTAGCAGATTAAACCAGGGAGGAGTGTCAAATATGCAACAAATAACACATGCATTTGCCTTTCCTCAACATGCTCCAAGAAGAGCCGGTCGATCCGGCACCACGCTTCTCATATAATACTGTTACTCCATTTTGTATTGCATTACTGTGCTAAGTGAAGTGGTACAGTACTCAAAAGTGCACTTGAGTAAACCCCACTGTCTGGATCATGGTGTGGACGGACGGGGTGGGTGGATCGACTAACGGTAGCTACCTTCTGTGCTGTTGGATTTACCCACCTCGGATGGGATGGAAATACTGCTCGTGTGGCGGACAGTTAGGCGGCTGCTAACAGAATCTTAAAGATCGAATTAACCATGACTCCTTACTGGGGATCTAAAAAGTTCAACCACTGCCAAATTTGAGCCTCTTCTTCGTTCTGCTTCCTCCATCATCACCCATCAAGCATTCATACTCCACCAACTTTCCAAACAATGGCCGTCACGGCCACGGCCACGGCCACGATAGAAAAAACAGCCAAACGCACAAGGGTCAACAAGAGAAAACGAGTCACACGAGCATGCGACTCCTGCCGCATTCGGAAGCACAGATGCGATGGCATCTACCCAACCTGCTCGCCATGCTTTGCGATCCACCAGCCATGCAGTTACGGCTCCGATAACAAGAAGCGTGGGCTGCCAACCGGATACGTCCACGCCCTTGAGCTACTCTGGTCTCTGGTCTTCACTGTTGTGCCCAACAGTAGAAGCATAGTCAAGACTCTCATGTCGGGGATTCAGTTTAGCCTAGATTCTCGTTCCAGGCTTGTCATGGAAAGCCGATATACCAAAGATTCCGAAGCGCTCAAGCAAGCTTGGGAGGACAGTGGCGTCCAGGGACAGTTGGACCAGCTCCTATCAGGGGTTCAGGAGATCCATGTTACTGGTGGAAGCATCGCAGCTGCAGACAAGACGAAATATGAAACCGTCGATATCCCTCCACAGTTGTCTTTCAAGCCTATTCAGAGTTCATATGGGCTCGGCTCGGATTCCATTCAGTCACATAACGCAGATACACCGACTCTTTCGTTTCCGAGGACGGTTCAGGCCGCGTTGCAGACCGATTTGGGATCGACCACCATTTTTACTCAGCATTTAAAAGGTTTACTTGACGCCTACTTTGCCCGGACTCATCTCTGGTTACCTATCGTGAAGAAGTACAAGATGCTGGAACTACTATATACACCGTCACGGAACAGGGAGACAGAAAGGGGAAATACGGCTACCCTCTGGGCGATTCTCGCCTATTCATCCCTCCAGGAGTCTCAGGACACTTCTACACCGGCCGAAAATAGCGCTCCGCTCCCTACACCAGATCAGCTGTATGCCAAGGCAAGACAGCAGCTACCGAACGAGGAGGCATCTCTGCCCGAATACGCCCAGGCTTTCCTCATCCTGAGTCTCTTCAAGCTAGAAAAGGGAGACGTCACAGCCTGTTGGTGTTTGATTGGCCAGGCAGTGAGAATCTGTTTGAACCTGAATACGCCATCTGTCTCTGACAAAGCATTGCAACTTGAAGGCGGTGATGACTCTCACCAGCGGCGGCTGCTGCTAGGTTGCTTTGTGCTTGACACAATAGTCTCTTGCCAGCTACACAAACCACCTCATCTCAGGACAGAGGACGTGAAATCCTCATCTATGCTAGCGGAAACGGGCCCAGATGAGTGGGAGTTGCAGGCCTTATCTGTTGGCAAGTCATTCAACATGGGCCCCACGCATCAGCCATCACGAGCAATCAGCATCTTCAATCAGTATGTCGGTGTAGTACGAATACTCAACGATGTCATGATGGATCCCATGATATCCGACCATCTCTGCATCAAGTACTTACTGGCATTGAGCCATTGGCATGACCATCTCCCAGAGCATTGTGTTATTTCCCCACCACCTGGTCTGGGCCAACTGGAGTCTGTGCAAACAACATCACCGCAACTTCTCAACCTCCACCTCGCTTTCAAGAGCACGGCAATAGTCCTCAAGGCGCAACATGGCCTGCTGTTAGAAAGGGGACTAATGAGTAAGCAAAATGTAAAAATGACTAGCTCGTTGATCGAATGCCTCATGTCACGGTGTGAAATTGATTTTACGGCGTCTAGTATGCCCGCTATTTTCAAAAGCTACAAAATGATCAGCAATAGGGACGCGACCTGCTTCAACGATCCAGGCTCAGCTTTAGAGTCAAAGTATTCACAGCCAGATCTTGCCGGGAACCTCCAATTCTCCATCATGAGTAGCGAGACTTTTCCGGCATATTTACCGACACCAGCGGACTCCTCCGAATATGCAAACATAGACACAAGTCATCCAGCATGGTGTCAGGGCCCGGCCCAGTCTTGTCATACAGAAGGTAGGCCAACATTATCGTCATTCTTGCTATTGCTGACTGAGGAAAGAAAAAGTTTCAATTACAAGTTCACAGACCCCTGTGCCGGATGCCATATACGAACACGACAAGGAAACTTGGAGCCAGATTTTCGGCAACGTAGAACTAAGCGAGGCTGGCATAACAAACCAGAAGTATCAGGGAGAGTTAAATTACCTGAAAGAAATGGATGGGATGGCAAAGCCTAATTTGGGTAATTTCTCCATAAGCTCATAAGAAATAAAGCCGCCATTACCGGTTCATCGAGTGCCAAACCTGGATAACCGTGATATTGTTGTGCCTGATACCAGACAAAGCGGACCTAGATGGGATGGGTGGGTAGCACATTTCACCAGGTGGGAATCGGCTCCACCCTTTCATTCATCGTACTTCTCGGCAGTATCGGTGGTATATGCTGAAAATAAACAACTAGCGAGACTGGTTAGAGTATATAATTGTTCATTTGCGTTCAATCAATCACCGAGCTTCTTCTTACACTACCATCTTATCCTGTGACAATTGTGATCTGGATTCGACTCCCTTCCCTCTTAGTCTCCTGAATCCCACTTTGCTGCCTCACCATGGGTTCTCACTCCACTCCTACCAAGAACCGAGCCCTATGGCTCTCGTCATTTGACAAGCCTTTGGAACTTGTTGAACTCCCTGTTCCCGAGGCCACGGCAGGCTCGGTGGTTGTGAAAGTTCTTAACACTGTGGTGTTCCCTTACGCAGAAGACATTCACACGGGGAAACTACCCGTCTTCAACCTTTCTCTTCCTCTCGTGCCCCATCCAAGCCACATCGGCCGAGTGCACAGCGTTGGATCCGATGCCATACTCGCCAAGCCCGGCGATCTGGTCTTCTTCTCGGCAGCCATATATGCGAGGGATGATCCTAGTGTCAACATCATCCAGGGCCACCATGGTGGAGAGGGCACTAGAGGCCACAAGCTCATGAATGGAGAGTGGCGTGATGGTGCCCTCCAAGAGTATCAAAAGGTTCCCCTCGAGAATATCTTTGTACTAGACGAGGATCGGCTTTGCAGACAACTAGGGTATACGCCTGCCGATCTTCACGAGATCTCTTTCTACACCATCGGTGCCGGAGCAATACTTGAGAGTGCCAGGTTGGTACCTGGAGAGACAATTGTTCTCGGGCCGGCCACTGGAACCTATGGCGGTATTGCATCTGACATCGCACTGGCTCTGGGAGCCAACGTGATTGCTATCGGTCGGAGCGAAGAAAAGCTCGCCGAGCTACAGAAGAAGCTCGGAAACCACGAGCGATTCAGCTACGTTGTCATGACTGGCGACGATAAAGTTGATACGGCCGCGATCCGTAAGGCAAGCCCCGATGGGCGCGGTGTCGAAGTATACAACGACTGGGCATCGGGAAGCCTGACGGGCTCTCCGTTCTTCTCGGCTGCGCTCCAGGCTGTGCTACCAGAAGGTAGGGTTGTTCTCAGTGGCGCACCTTCTGGGTCCATCACCATCCCGTACACGCTTGTCATGCATCAGAACATCAAGATCTTTGGCAAAGTCATGGTCACACGCGCAGGGATCGAGTCGACCATAAAGATGGTGAACTCTGGGGTTCTCAAGCTTGGTAAGCGTGGGGGATCGAGTCACAAGGTGTACAAATTAGAAGAGCACCACGAGGCTTTCGAAGATGCAAAGCAGAACAGCGGCTTCAGGGTCTACACGGACATTGCACCTAATGCATGGTAGAATTTTGCTCCATTTTTTTACATAGTTTCAAATACAATCATTTTATGGGGATTTATGATTCAATGCACAACGGTAGATTAAAAATGACGTCTTCAATTCGGGAGTAGCTGAACACAATTTGATAAACATGCGGATGCAGCTAAACCATCCAATCACATCACCAATTGCGGCAGAATCATTGTGTAAACTCAACAGCATGCAGCAGCTGAATGGAGCTGCTAAGATTAAGACATCCATCATTTGAGACACGAGACTTATCAGAGCTAGCTAAGCCGAAACTACGAGCGAGCTCCTCGTTCCTACGGTTCCCATGCGTGTTATTGAGCTCTGATATTCGTGGTGCAGTCTTACTGATTGCTCATCAATCTTGAAACTACCTTAGTGGCACCCAATGATAATAATGGAATGATCCTCTCTAATATTTCAAGGAATAGTTTAAGGGGATACAGACAAGATGTATAAAATGTTGAGTAATTCAATACGGATTAGAGAAACAGACAAAATTAAGGTAAAGTCTCATATTCCGGAAATGGGAAAGGATAGGCATCATACCCATGAACAAATCATTTTCCGTGCCACCTAATGAGTGACGAATCTTCCAGTCGAGCGGGGAAGAGATGGATAATACTGTGGGTGGGTTTGGACTTTATTTTGTAGATGGATGCCCACCCGCGCGCGGATGCTCGGAACCCCACACACAACAGCACGGTCAACTAAGTTTAATAAGGTCAAGCCTCACTAAAGAATACATACTTTAGTTGGCCGAGCTTTAACAGTTAAGTGCTGAGACTCAAAAGCGTTCTTGTTTTACATTTGATGTCCCACTCTTTGCTTTAACTTTAGTCGTGATCATTGGATCGTATCAAGACAGAATGCCGTGCGCCGACTGTTACCGGGGCCATGATCATCTAGGTCCTATCCACGGTCGCGAGGCCACGCTACATGGCCATGATGTGTACATCACCGAGCCTCAGACCAAACCAGTTTCCCAGACGGGGCTGATCGTTGTCCTTTCGGATGCCTTTGGCTGGGACACGATAAATCTGCGTGGTGTGGCAGACAGGTACGCAGAGCGTACTGGCTGCAAAGTGTACCTGCCTGACTTTATGCATGGTAAGCAAATACTAGATTCATTGTTTGTATTTCCCTGAGAACTTTATGGCTAATGTAGTCTCAGGAACATCTGCACCTGCATCGATCAAGGCAGTCATCGATAGAATCCTCACCGAGAAAAGCTTCTGGGGATGGCTAGTAAAACCGTGAGAAAAGAATAGAACCATGCCAATCTTCTCCTGCTAATGTAAATAACTAGATGGCTCATAATGAAGGCAGCATATTTCATGGTGCCTTTCAGTATACGTAACGACCCTGAGAAACGCTATCCAGGCGTTCGACAGTTTATGGATGACCTGCGCTGCTCCGAAGCATCTAATCTAAAGATCGGCGTCGTCGGCTTCTGCTGGGGTGCATATGGTGTCACGCACTTGGCTCATGGCGGGTTGGCCAGAAATGGCAAAACGCTTATTGACGCAGCGTTCACTGCTCACCCCAGTGAGATAAAGGTTCCTGAGCATATCGAAAACGTGAAGCTCCCTTATAGCATGGTCATTGGCGATATCGACTTTGCACTACCTCTGAAGGACGTGCAGAAAGCAGCTGAAATTCTGGAGGGGAAGAAGGACTTGGACAGCGAGGTGGTTATTATTCCCAATGCGAAGCATGGTTTTGCGGTTAGAGGTGATCCAAATAACAGGGAGGATAAGGAGATGGCCGATCAAGCAGAAGATCAATTAGTTAGATGGTTCGCTAAATACCTGGTTTAACTCAATAACAAATTCATGATAAGCGAGAAACTTAATAGAGGCTGTCAATAGAGAATATACGATATTCTGTTTTATAGAAGCTGGTCCATAGTAGTTAGGATATAAGACCCTTAGGGCAGCTCATGCACGTAGCTGTGAATTAGTGTACAAATATATTCGCCCATATCTCTTCCGGGGACGTTCTATGCTATAATGATTCAAGGCCCAAGTTGAATGTGAGCATCTGCATGGTCGTCGAGTTGTAGTTTGGAATGGTTTGGGTCAAGACCCGGCATGGGATTTTTTTTATCCGATTCAGATAAAGTCAAGTATTCGAAGGCCCAGTGTATCTCAGTAAGAAAGTTCATAGATCCATATTTGCATTATTTGAAAAAGAAAGAAAAAATAGATTTCATGTATTTTTCCATGCAGAATAATTGCAGCACCCAATGGCTTGAGTCAACAAAGTTGCGGCTGAGTGTATAAGAGGTATAGGCTCTCCTGAGAGGTACCAGATTGTGGGTTGGCGGGATACAGCTGTATAGTAGCAAAACGCAAACAATCGATTGAAGCAAAAACGTATGATGATTGAGGAAGAGAAAGCTATCTGTTCAAACCAACGGAATATTCGTCTAAGTACGCGGTAGTCGGCATATCGATAAATTGATAAAGTTGATAAAGCCGTATGACGTATCCGCACAGATAGAAGGCAAAAAGAGAGTAGAGTCCATCACTCAGGCTTCTTACCCCAGACGAAATGGATGCGCAAATAAAGGTGAATCGATGGGTCTTTGAGGTCCCTCCTGACCTTGGCCACGTACACCTGGATCTCCTCTTCCGTCCAACCAAGTATGGTCGAAAAGAGCCTGGGCGTGTACGACTCCACGGCCTGAATCTGCTGGATAGCCATGAATTTCCCCATCTCTTTCATCGTGGGATCCTTGGGCCAAGCGCCAATGGGTACCTTGCCACCTCGTGTCAGCAACGACCAGATATTCACATTGGAACGGCGGCCTACCTTAAGAATTTCCTGCTTCACGTCCACGAACCCCGCCTTCTCCAGCTTCTCCTTCCAGTCAACAGCAATCTCAAGCGACTTTCCAAACTTGGCCGAACCCTCTATCAATGTCTTGAGCCAGCTATTGGCGTTCTCGGCCTTGTCATTGGTGCCATCATCGGACGTCCAGTTCGGATCCGCCGCCTGGAACTCGATGTAACCACCTGGGGCAAGGTGTTCAAAGGCACGCTGGAAGAGCTGGTCGTTGTCGCCAATGCATCCCTCAAGTTCGCGTGCGTGGATGAAGTCGAAGGGCTTGCTGTACAGCCATTCGGCTTCATAGTCGTCAACCTCGAAGAAGCAGTTTGGAGGAGTCCTGATTTGCGAGTCAGTACGTGTAGTTGGATGTGGGCGGCAAGATGGGATACCATTGCGGCTGGATTGGGCTCAGATCCGTGCCAATCACCTGTGCGGATGGGTATTCACTACACTCATGTCAGTCAAATGATCAGCCGGCCTAGATCAGGGGGACAGACTCAGCAAAATCCATGGCCCAGATACCCGTGCCGGTACCGAGGTCGAGCACACGATGGGGGTTATCGACGATAGGCGCTAGGAAGAGCTTGCCGCCGAGCAACAGGCGGTATATGTGATGCACGAGATCCATGCGGTCTTGCTCAGTGTCATCGTTGGGCTGTTGGATCTCAGCTTGATTTCCTTCGGGAAGATAGATATCACAAGTAACATACTAGGAAATAAGTGCCTGCACGGAAGGCATGGTAGCGACGTCCGTTCTACCTCATATGAGTCACTACATTGATAACGAACGTAAATTCGCGCTCAGACTCACTTCATATCTAGATCACCCGAGTAGGTGCCGGTTAAAGAAAGATACGGGTACGGCGACGCAGCGGGCAACATACTTATAGTTTACAATGCTTGAAGCCAAAGAGGTCTGATAGCTACCCGAACCCTCCCTAATTGGATGGTCAGCGCAAGTCCTCAGAGCAGCAGGTCCATGCGAGGCTTACGAGCCAGCATAGGCAGAATCATCGTCGGCAAGCACATTATCCTGAAGGCCAGTGTCAGCTAGTTAGCGAACGGAGGGGAAACAACGTGACCAACATCTGCCTCGATGGGATTCTCAGCCAAGGCCTCCTGCAGCGGTGGCGCAGGGGACTCGGACTTTGGTCGCTCGACGTCCGGACTCATTGTCAAGGCAGGCAATTTGTGAGAAAAAGCAACCTAAAGAACAATGCGGTGGGGTCGGCACATTATTTAACGGCGGCGGTGCGTGCGGGACGCTTCGTGGCGCGCGCGCAGCCAATAAAAGCAAGATTAGGAGTACTTCTATTATGGTGTGAGTGGTATTATTGGATAAAGTATTCATTATCAATATTGAGCTTAGCAAGCCCAAGGGTCCCCTCACACCATCCCGCTTTGGGGCATTCTCCCGCTTTGCGTCTTGACCACTTCACCCAGTCCAGCCGATGTCACGCTGCGTAGCCTGTACGGCACAAACTCCCGATGCTGTATCGGAAACGGCGCATTTTGGTAATGATCCCACGTGGTAAAGTCGAAATCGGCAGATGCGACTGCGAAATTGGGAATGAGGAGAGTGGTCCAGAGTGTAATTGCGTGAGATAAGCCAGAGAGGGGATGACATGACCAACCCCTCCAGAGAACCGACCCCAGTCGACCCCTAGTTAAATCTTTGAATGACCATTGGCCTACTTGTGGGTTAAATCCTTTACTTGGCACATGATTACATACATATCCCGGCTTTTGCATAAATAGTTATGAACTCAGGCTTTTAGCCAGTCGGATTCTATAATTCTTACCGGGGATCGGCAGAGAGTCGGTGCATAGGGACGGCCCTTCCAACTTATGAAGAGGCGTACTAATATAGTTGGCATAACTAAAATAGAAATCAGCGACTAATTAAACTGCACATGGCCACTCTTCATCAGGCCAACCAATTCAACCACGCACAAACACTCGGTAAAACGTCTACAACAGCCACCCGTAAGCCAGCAAGATAACTTAGAAAAGTGCACATCATGTCAACATTGCATATAATACGGCGTGCCTCTGTGGATATCTAGTCAGCTCTGAACTTGTGCGACACGCTGACACCTCTTGATCCGCCAGCCCCTATTTCTCACTCCTTGAAATAGCGTCAATGCACAAGCGATGTTAGAACATATATTTCAAGAGTGACCATGACTTTGTGAGGATGTCTCAATAAAAAAATCACTGATACTCTGCCTCTTTGCTAAACTTACATTTATTAATCATGCCTGAAACGAATTCTGTGACTCGCCTTCAAATAACTAACTGAGTAAAGTTGGCGGACCTCTAGGGTAGGGCGTAGGAAGACCGAAGCCCACCGGTGCTTTGTAAGAAGCGGCATTCATTTCCGGCCTTAGGAATTCGGTTTAGTCTGGCAGGTCTTGGTAATTGGGCCATTATCCGGAGTTTTTACTGGGCGTCCATATTTTGCTCCGTCCGTTACCTTCGCTCATGATCGCAAGAAAATTAGCCGCCCAGGTATTGACTACCTAGATTACCACTTACTTAATTTCGTGGTTTACTCATCAATACCATTTCATGGAATAGGCACATCGTCTTAGCAACATTCGATTGTCCAGATAGCTTTACTCTTCCAATTCTCAAAACACAAAGTCGCATTCATAGTAAGGGTTTACGGCGCTGGCGCTATTCCTGTCAACACTTTCAAGGATTCCTTAAGGAGCCTTTTATATATAGATATTAGGCCTCGATGTGAGGAAGCTAGGTACCTACCTAATAAGAAGGTAGGAATTAGGTGACCTTCCTCTGTCTTTTTATGTGGCTAGCGATCGCTGCGGACAACCTGTCCCTCATCAAAATAAATGATTGCTGTGAAGCTAACCAGAATATCTGCAGTCAAGACGAGCGAAAGCTACGGGTATAATCTGGCTGTCTGCCGTGGAGACGAGCGATCACTGCGGACCTGACCAGCTTATCTTTCATCAGTACGAGCGAGCTTCGCTTACCTTTAGGACTGCTTGCAGGCATTGACTTGTTTTTTATTTATATCCTGGCGGAAATCCTGGCACTGTGGTCGCGACATACGCCCAAAACAATGACGTCAATAATTCGCTGATGGACTTCTACTTCCTCCCCTCTATCCTTTTATATGAGTTGACTCACTATATATTCGATACTAAGCCCGCTATCCATCCCGCGTCCCCCTTTTGTTCCTGCCCCTATTTCTTATGTATTCACGACGAGATCATAATGATACTTACTCGAAAAAATACACCCCATGATATCAGTACTATTAATGGCAAAGGTTCGGACGTGGGAGGCAAAAAGCCAACTGCCTATAGTCGGACCTTGTGTGGAAAGTTAGCCCTGAAATTCTCCAACCTTGCTTACCGGAAAGGCTTATCTGGCTCTGGCGTTATACTTTGACCGACATGCTTGGATGGGCAACGATGCACGTGGATACCATTTGGATTAAGGACGCTTTCCGATGATGAGTGTCGTGAGTATACTTGAATATGTGGCCCAAGAGTTAATATCAATGGACCGGATTACCTAAGCGCTTGAAGAGTGCATTTCCTTTCAATATATTGTTTCCAAGACTGTAAATACAGACCCCGAGAGGCTCATCTACAGCTCAGTACATTCCGGTCTAGCTCGGTTAAAGCGCAGTCCCAGGAATAGAAATAAATCTCAGTGTGACTGCTTTGGAAAATATTGCTTACTCGTATATAACTAGCAAATAAGAAAAAAGGACCTGGCATTTGTTGAATACTTGGAGGTCCTGGACCTCTTAGGTGTTTTATTCTTTAACCACTTTCGAATTAATACTCATGGGGCCGTCTGTTTACCCTCTTAATGAATTTAAAGCGAATGAGATACCTGGCTAGAGATCAATTCAAAAGAATGACACTTCAAGGACAAATGAGTTCAGATAGTGCAGAGGATAAAGCTGCTAAACTGGTGGGGATTTGGTTAGACCAACTAATTACTGACCTAACTTATCTTGGGATGTTAGGGCGTGGCCAATAAGCGTCAGCCATTTGACCCCAGAGCCCCATTCAATGACGGGATAAACCCCATCGTCTCTTCCGCACTTTACCTGTCCTCCGTTTTCTGTCCTTTCACTGATTGAATTCCCAGTCCTTTGAAAGATCTAGTACGAAGTACTTGCATCCGCTCTTGGTAAATGGCTCTTGAGCATCATGGATCATCATTGGCAGCAGCAGTGCGATCAGCTGGGAGCCCTCCGGCTATGAATGTGCCCGTGTCCTCCTCATTCCTGTCCGATCAGTCTGGACGCGTGCCATTTGATATTGATATTGATCTGATACTGGCGAATATGGATGCTGAAGAGTTTCTTATCCAGGATCCGACTATCGCGGACCAGACTACACTTCATGATCCCTTACAATTGCAAGCTGACTCATCGCGCAATGACATGTCATCGCTCTCTTGTCTCTTGGACCCTGCACTATCTGATCGTTCTGCCTTCTCAATTCGTCGAAATGAAGCATCTTCCGCCGGAGAGTCTCCATGGTATAGCAATCCAGAGTTTCAGTTCAAACCCGACTGCTCAAGCTCTTACATCGAGACTGGGCATGGCCTACCCACTGAGTCCATTCCACATACAGCCACATCCGATCAGAACTTCCCAGCATCGGGTACCAATTCATGGAATAGAACAACGATAGATCATCACAATGAACAAATCGTTGACCAGGCGGACCTATCCTGCAACCTGACACTGCATCCCGTATTGTTGGCAGACCCCGAAGTGAGGAGCAGGTCACTCCCCGTACCGTCTTGGAGGAATGGCGACGTCGCACCCATCACTACCACCCGTCTCAGTCGAGAATCTCTCCAAACTTTGAAGAAATGGCATGGACTAAATAGTCGTCATACCTATCCAAGCGAAGAGGAAACAGAAATGCTCCAACGGAGGACTGGCCTTAGCAAGACGCAAATTGCCAACTGGATTATCAACGCTCGTCGCCGAGGCAAGCTGCAGCCCAAAAGGTCTTCATGTACCTATTCCCCCCCAATTGCGTCTACCGGACCTATTGATATTCCTCGTCGGCCTGACACACCGGCCATCAAGGGCCCAAGGCCCAGCCATGATCCTCTGCAACGTTGGGTCGATTCACCACCTGAAGATGAACCTGCATCTGTTGTGGCCATTGCAAGAGCCATGCATTCGAAGCGATGGGACACATCCAGCGCTGCCTTTGCTTCGAATTGTTCACCTACTACTCAAGAAGGGACATTCAGCAACGGTTCCTCAGCAAGCAGTGTAGCCACGTCTAGCGCAGGTTCATTTGCACACTCGCATTCCTCGGACGGCTCGTTCCAAGCAGCCACTTTCAACTCCCTCAATCAAAGAAATGGTCGTCGTAGACGGAAGAAAAGAGTGCCGCCGAACCGAAGCAACCAGCGAACTTCGTTGATTGTATCGTTGAAGCCATTTCAGTGTACTTTCTGCCCCGAAACATTCAAGACTAAGCACGACTGGCAGAGACATGAGAAATCATTCCATTTGTCTCTAGAAATGTGGATTTGTACACCTGATGAACCCAGAGCGATCAACCCCAACACGCAGCAACTCTGCTGCGTCTTTTGCGGTCTACCATATCCGGATGATGCGCATTTAGAGAAGCACCATCATGGTAACGTCTGTAAGCCGCGGACATTCGAAGAGAGAACGTTTTATCGCAAAGACCATCTGAATCAACACTTAAAGCTCGTTCATAATACCATGTTTCTCAACTGGTCTATGACGAATTGGAAAATCGTCAAGTCGGAGATTCGCTCACGGTGCGGTTTCTGCGGCATCATCATGAATGACTGGACGGATCGGACTGATCACTTGGCGGAGCATTTCAAGAGCGGAAAAACAATGGCTGACTGGCATGGTGACTGGGGGTTTGAGCCATCGGTGCTGGAAATGCTCAGCAATTCTATTCCGCCCTGTACGTGACTCAATTTTTCTCTTTGTATTACTTCACACCCTTTAATTATACTGACTTTCAGGATACTTAGATCTCATCGAAAATGAACAACAATCCCCTTTTCCATTCATCGCTAGTGTCGCGCCTACTGAGTCTCCGCGGAACGCATACGAGCTTATTACATTGGAACTTGCCTACTTCATGGCCAACCACGAGGAAAAGACTAATACCCTCCCGAAGGACAGAGATATTCAGGTAGAGGCGTGTCGTATAATTTATGCTTCTGAAGTGCTGTCCACGCAACGAGACATCGCAGCAGAATCCTCCTGGTTACGAGACCTCGTCATGTCTTCAGACGAGATCGCGTCAAGTGCAAGATTTGCACCTCTCCGACGACGAGCTGAAAATAGGAGTGCAGTTCTCAAGATCAATGGAAAAGACAATCTTTTCGAGCAATGTCCGCTTGAGGTCCAACTGAACGACTTTGTTCATGTTAAAGTCCTTCGGAACATGGCGGTATCAAATGGAATGCTCCAAGAGGAAGCTTGTCACATTATTCGGCGGATGGAAAAGGCAAGCATTTTGCCATGTCGTTACCCTGCTGACTGGCTCGTGCGACTTGTCAAGTCATCGACTGGATGGCTAAGCAATTTCCGCCAACGAGCCAATCTTCCAGCTTCCGTTGATGCTGATGCTCCTGTTCATTTGCTACAAGAAACGGCGCGGAATATAGACACCTACACCGGACTTGAGCGATACCTGGGAGACTATATCGACTCCCAGAGAGCCATAGGCAACGAACCGTCAAATGGGGAACTGGAGCGGACAGCTCATTCATTCATCTACCAAAATGGATTGCATCATGGGAAAGTGGACAACTCGGAATGGGCGGCCAATTTCAAGAGGCGTCATGACCAAACACACTATGGGACAGCAGCGGTAGGAACCTTGAGTCCTGGGCTGTCACTCCGTCAAGACGTGCTACCAAACGAGCCACAACCCAACTTAGAGATGCAACCAAACGATGACACTGACAGTCCTGGGAGATTTGAAGATTTGATGGCAAACACCTTCTTCCTGAATGATACCGATTGCTATCGTCGTCTGGCACAGGAGTTGACCCGATTCGTCACCTCTACAATGTCTCCTAATAATCCGAATCGGCATGTTCCTACCGATGCAGAGATCCAATATCAGGCGCGATGGATCATGTTTGATTGGTGAGATAACATCCAAATGTTGATTTCCCAGTACAATAACTCACCTCGTGACTAGCGATGACCCCTGGAATCAAACTGCTGCCGAGAACAGTGAATGGCTAAATCGGTTTAAGCGCGACGTAGGCATACTGCCTCCAAAGACGTGACTAAAGCTATGAATCCCTGCCTACATAGTCAAAACCCAAGAGTGGTGTATCTTCTCTATCAATCACTTCTTTCAAACTTCATCACTTATGATCGATGCAAGGCACCTAGATACAAGTTCAGAAAAACAGTAGAAATAGATTTTCTATTGGAAAATACATTCGGTATTTGTTTCTTTCCGGAAGAGGTTTTCCGGAATTCTACTACTCTCGGTCCTGGACCTTATTTATACAGCTACCAACTCCCTCCAAACTCACCTCAACAGTATCGCCATTCTTGAGCCACAATGGGGGATTTCTAACTTCTCCTACACCTTGGGGCCTAAAAAAGTCTGTCAGTATACCGCCAGAAGTCAAAGACAAAGACCCCTACTTACGTTCCGGTGAAAATTAAGTCACCTGGGAGAAGCGTGGTTCCCTGACTCAAAAAGGCGATAATCTTGGCTACGCTGAAGATCATATCGGCAGTATTGCTCTCTTGCACCGTCTCACCATTCACCTTGGTCGAGATCTTCAGTTTCTGCGGATCAGGAATAAGCTTGGAGCTGACGATACCGGGTCCAAAAGGTGCCCAGCCATCGAATCCCTTGCCGAAACCCCACTGACTACCGCCTCGTCGCAGCTGCCACTCACGGTGGGAAATGTCGTTTCCAACAGCATATCCAGCCACGTATTCGAGTGCCTTCGACTCAGGAACCTGATATGCGTCTTTACCAATCACGACGGCTAGCTCACACTCATAGTCGACGCCGTCAAACTGCCGGGCAACGGCGGGAATAGGAATGGTGTCAAACGGTCCATTAAGGGAAGTGATGGGCCGGAAAAAGAGAATAGGATACTGCGGAATTGGTGTACCGGTTTCTTTTGCGTGTTGCTCATAGTTGAGGCCGAGACAACGAACGGTTTTGAGATGTTCACGAGCCAGAGGGCTCAGGAGAGAGTCGACGTCCTGAGACAAAAGAAATAAGAACGATTCCGTATGGAGGACGGGATCTATATTGGACAGAGACAACATACAGCAACTTGCTCGGTTAATTCATGTTTTCCGAAGGGGTTCCCATTGAGGATTCTAGCTTGAACCGCCTTGCCTACATCTGTTACACCCGATGGAAGAATTGCATCGCCGTAGTAGATGTTTCCATCCTTAGCAAGGAATCTGATCAACCGCTAGCCGATTGTTAGACTGTGGTATTACTGACCTATGTATAATCAAGATTTCAAAAAACTCACAGAAAAGGAAGCCATTTTTGACGGATAAGATTGAAATAAAGTGTCGTAGGAGTGGAGTGGAGTGTTGATAGCTCTGGGTATTCGAGAACAAAGATACCATCAAAATGTTGGTTATAACCCTTCTTTGAATAGTGGAATGTCCATTTTCCTGTCTTAAGTTAGGCTCTAATGCAAGATGACGCCCAAGCTAGTGAAAGGCGCACGCAAACAAGGCGCATCTTCTCAAGGGCGGTTCACACCATGGCGTGACGCTAGGCAAAGGCGTGGCGGAGTATTGTTCAGGGGGTGATCCTAGCTTAAGGCGTTGAACCTCTTCCCCATGGAGATAGGCATCAGAGTGTGGGGGCGGAGCCTTGAATCTTCATCCCCTTGGGGTGATGCATGGTAGAGCCCTGAACTTGAGTTTTTGGGATTCTAGCGGAATGAAAGTGGCAAGGGAAGGGGAGTCTCCGGGGGTTACAACCTTTCGGTGGCAGCAGCCGAGACCTTCGCCGAACTGCTCACGGTAACCTTAATAAGAGAATATGAATTGAGAGAGGTACTCTTATCAGCCTAAGAGTGTTCAAAGTTATAAAGCCTCCGGTGACCTCACTCCCCACGATATATTATAAAAGCTATGACTATGGTGGCTTGATCTATATCCGGACCCTGATTGCCTAACAGTTTGTAATACCACTGCTGATCGACCAGATCAATATCCATATCCTGCCATGGAGAAGAATAATGCTGTCGACCCTGAGCTTGGCGTTGACTATGAAAAGGTCGATATGTTGACGCATGAGGCCAAACCCCGAGCCTCTAAACAAGCGAGTATTCAAGATGTTCCCAAAACCCGCATGCGAAACTTCATGGATAGCTTCAGGCCTGCAGACGTTGATGCCAACTCGCCTCCCCAACAGGCCCATGAACCTTCCCAAGATGACGAGAGCCCTTCGGCCCCTCCGGAGAAACTCGCTCGAAAGCTTAAAAGCCGCCATATGAAACTCATGGCCATTGCAAGTTGCGTCGGCACAGGCTTGTTCGTTGGCAGCGGAAAGGCTTTGGCAAGCGGTGGACCAGCTTCGCTGCTCATCGCGTATGGACTGATCGGCATCATGATTTACTGCACCATGCATGCTCTTGGCGAAATGGGCGTGCTGTTCCCCGTTGCTGGCTCATTTGCCGCCTTCTCCACTCGCTTCTTGGATCCAGCTTGGGGCTTCGCCATGGGCTGGAACTATACCATTTCCTGGCTCGTTACTTTGCCGCTGGAAATCACTGCCGCGAGTATGACTATTGGGTTTTGGCCTGGAGCGAGAGAAACGAATAGCGCGGCATGGGTGGCCATCTTTTGGGTCGTGGTTGTGTCCATTAACCTTTTTAGTGTCAGGGGTAAGTTGTTCTCTATCCTTCTGTCCCGCCGAATGATGAGCTTACATTCATTTTTTTTCAGGCTTTGGAGAGGCTGAGTTCATCTTTTCCACCATAAAAGTGATTACTGTCATTGGTTTCATGTTAGTACATTCCTCCCAGAAATAGACGAAATCTGTTGGCTAATAGTTTTCTCAAAATAACAGTATTCTTGGAATTATCATCGATTGCGGAGGCTCCCCATCGGGTGATTATATTGGTGGGCGATACTGGCACAGCCCAGGTGCTTTCAATAATGGCTTCAAGGGACTTTGCAGCGTCTTCGTGACGGCCGCGTTTGCCTATGGGGGCACAGAGGTTGTCGGTCTCGCCGCAGCGGAAGCTGCCAACCCGAGAAAGGCATTGCCAGCTGCAGTAAAGCAGGTGTTTTGGCGCATTATCCTGGTAGGTTTTCTCATTTAGTATATTGAAAATCTGATTACATACTAAGTTCTGATCCTAGTTCTATGTGCTCTGTCTCATTGTCATAGGCCTCCTAGTTCCTTACAACTCTCCTGATCTTCTCAACGGCTCTGGATCATCGGATGCCAACGCGTCCCCATTTGTCATCTCAATCCGAAACGCTGGGATTAATGGCTTGCCGTCTGTTATCAATGCCGTCATCTTAATGTCCATTCTTTCTGTCGGCAACGCTGCCGTGTACGGTTCATCGCGTACCCTTGCTGCCATGGCAGATCAAGGACAGGCACCAAAGATTCTGGGCTATGTGGATCGATCAGGACGTCCTCTTGTCGCCATCATATGCACTGCCATAGTCGGCCTCGTCGCATTCATTGTAGCTGCGGGACCCGATGTCGCAGAACAAGCCTTTGACTGGATGCTCGCCATTGCAGGGTTGGCACAGATTTTCAACTGGGGATCTATTTGCCTGGCTCATATCCGTTTCCGACGTGCCTGGAAGTTACAAGGACATTCCTTGAATGACCTTCCCCACAGGTCTCAGGCTGGTGTCTACGGTTCTTGGCTTGGTTTCATTATCAACTGTCTCATCGTGATCGCGCAATTCTGGACAGGGTTTGCCCCAGTTGGCTACGAGTCAATGACTGCTCTTGAGCGCACCGAATCTTGGTTTCAATCTTGTCTGTCGCTCATTATTATTCTCATCACCTACGTGGGCTTCAAACTTTGGAAAAAGACGAAGATATGGAGAGCCAAAGACCTTGATCTGGTCACTGGCCAGCGGGTTCTCAACCTCACGCAGATTCTTGAGGCGGAGAGAATGGAGAGACAATCATGGTCCGCTGGGAAGAGAATTTGCAAGTTCCTGTGTTGATGACTCTCTTACTCTATGAGATGGTAGCTCTCTCACACTACGAGATGGTACTCTAGGCTCAAGGTATTTTTGATACAATAGAATCGAGTTTCATCGAGTCTGGGAGTTCTTGTGCTCCCGCCCTCGTCAGAGCTACATAACGTAAGCAAGACAACATGTTCCGGGGATGGATATATTCTACAAAGGCTCAACCTCACTGCTATTTTGGTAATACATTTTGAAACCCGCCAAATGGACTTTTGAGTATGTAAAACTAAAATCAAAGAGACTTAGTATCAATGTCTCTTACTATATTCTCTTTTATCATATTTTTAAAATGCTAAGAAGTATTAATATTAAAGCCAACTTCTATTGATAAGAGAAAGACAGTAAACTTCAAGAGCAATAGAAGCTTCTAGACTAGTAAATCAATAAACTTAATACAAAGCTTAACAAATAGCTTGACAGCGTGTGGATTGTAAAATTGTATTTCTTCCAAATAGTACTTAAGCGAGTAGCCTGATTTTAGGATAAGGATTGATATTTAAAAAAAAAATTACTTCTACCCTGGTATTCCTCCCGTTTATAATAATTACGGTAGGTTAAAGAGCTGCTACTACTAGTCCTACTGCTAGGAGGTCTGACTTGACAGCTTGCAGCCATATCATTGATTGCATTCACCTGGATCGCAGCAATTAGGATCTGGCTGACCTACTCGAGGCAGGTTGAAGCTGCAGCTGTTGATCGTATCTATGAGGCTCAAGGTAGAGAAGATCAAGGGAAAAGTAGCAGATTCTTTACTGCCTTGGGCAGGGACTTCAAGGCCGGGCGTAAGGAAGGCATGTCAAGGAACGAAAGCATGGGAATAACAGCCCCAACAGCAGCGAGAAATTACTTCTATCTTATTAGAAAAAAAACCATGTAAAGCACTAATACCATTTTCAAACCAATACTATATTTGCTAGTTTTATCGAAATTCAGTAAAAATCAGTAGAATTCGCCTAAAATCATCGCAATATTATAATTGAATCTTGCACATGGTGTTAATTTATTAATACCTGACCCCGGATGCATACTAATTTGCTGTGGTATTTTAAAATCCGGCACACTTCGTAGGTAATATTTAGAACAACAAATTGGCACTAGGTGAATGCTCAACATCACTTGCCTTGTTAAAAGCTATAGCATACCCTCCCGTAGAGCCACCAGATCCTCCACTCATTCCTTCAACTTAAAGACTGATCGAACCGCTGTCCCAAATCTTCGAATGGCCTCATTTATTTTATCAGCGGGAGCAGAAGCGTACGTGGAGCGGAAGAATAGCGTATCGTGATTCTCCTCCTTGTTTGCGTAGAACTGACTGCCTTTGATAACCAACGCCCCCTGATCAATGCTCGCCATGAAGATTTCATCCTCAATCTCCAAAATAGTCTTCGATGAGGCCAAAGGATGTTTTCTCCAGTCGATCTTGAGCCAGTGCTAAGATTTCAATTGGTTAGAGATTGTTTTCATCTTGAAGGGGTACGACGTTATCACTTACAAACATGCCGGCTACAGGTGGTTTCCAGCTTACAATTTCGCGAGGCAACCATTTCTCACAAGCGTCCAGTATAGCCTGTCGCCGCTGGGTATAGCCTAATCGGATATGAACCAGCCAGTCCAGGTACCCATCGTGGCCCCAGTACTCATCAACAAGCTTGAACAACATGAGCTGCGAGACACCGCTGGGCCCTTGGGTGCCTACTTCGGAGTGTCGGGTGTACCTCTCGACAATCTGTTGACTAGCTGTGATCCAGCCTGTTCTGGTACCAGGAGCAAGAACTTTAGAAAAGGAATCCATGCGTAGAACTCTTCCATCCACATCGATACTCAGATAGCTAGGTATCAAACTCTTCAGAAACTCAGCATTTGTTGCCGGGGGAGGTGATGCCGTCGCTCCTTGACTGTTGTATGGCTGCATTTGCAGGAAGTAGTAAGGCTCGTCCTCGATAATATATAAATCATGTTTTTGGGCAACAGTATAGATATCTCTTCGTCGTTTCTCCCCCTGCGTTGCCCCCGTAGGATTCTGACCGGTTGGCACAGTATACAGTACTGTTGGCTTCTTAGCGCTGTCATGATCAGCTGGGTCCCAGTTGCTTAACAGAGCATCGAGCGACTCGGGAAGTAGACCTTGGTCGTCCATTTTGACACCAGCTACTTTAACGCCCATTGGTGTAGCGGCTTCAACGGCAGTAGAAAACGTATACTCTTCCGAGACTATATAGTCGTCAGGCTGCGTGAGCATACGCAGCACGAAATCCATACTGCACGTCGAACCAACAGTCATTGTGCATGACCAGTCTGCATAGGGAGGATCATGAACTAGCTCGGTGTGTTCCGTAATCCAACGTAATAGTTGTGCAGAACCATGGCCCTGGCCGTAGTTGAAAGATGTCGAGATATCAAAGATGGACTTTTTTTCGGCCAAGTCGTGTTTACCAGCCTTGATCAGAACGCCATTTTCGCGTAGCTCCTTGTCAGAGAATTGTCCGACTTGTGGCACTTTGAAGTGAAGTTCAGCCCAGGGAAAATATTCATCTGAGGGCAGCCCACCTCCCAGGGAAATTATTCCTGGCCTGGAGAGAAAACTGGCTGCATACTTGAGAGAGTTTCCTGCACGTCCAGCAGATTCTTTGCTGAGGATGCGATCCCATCTTTTAGCCTTGGGCTTGTGCCAATGCTGGCGGATTTGGAATGTTTCACTTTTGGCTGGTGCCGCCGGGCCCCATTGTGACGCGTCGATGGGCTTACGGAGGGATTTAATGGACTGTGCATCCAGGGAGGGGGGCGTTGCAACACCGTTGCCATTATCAAGCCACTGTGGTGACATTCTGGATAATTCCATAAGATAGAAGTTAACGACTAGTAGAGTGAAAAGACACGACTGTAGTTGATTGTTAACGTGTTCAAAGCCTAGCTTTAGAAAGTGTGATGTATCCTCAATCACGGCCATTGGAAATCTTTTATGGATAGATCTGAATATCATATTCTACCAAGTCTGTTCACCAATTCAATTGCGGGCCCCTTGTGGTGAGAAACTCTCAGTGGCCACGGCCTCTTCCCCTCACGCCCTTCCCCTCACGCCCTTCTCCAACGCGCCTTTCACTCCACGCCTTTTGGAAACCCAGGTTTAGTAAAGTGGGGGCACGGAATGCAACACACCATCCCCCTTCTGTCTGTCGTTAGGTATCTCCTTACGCTTGTTGTTCAGAGCGAGTCATGCTGGTGAGGATAGCTAGGAGAGATTGATAATTTAATGAAAGATTATGATTATGCCAGTCTGAGTTTAAATATATTGTTTGGGTCTCTCACCTTTCCCCTCCAACCATCTAGCCCCATACAACTCACGAAGAGCTTCTTCTCTTCGATTATTTCACTTTTCTTACACCATTCGGCATTTGGCCTCCTTCTATGTCAGTGTTGCAAAATCATGCAGAGGACAGCTGCCTAAAGAACCAACAAGATAAATCCAACAATATCTCTGATGGCAACAACAAGGAGCAACCGCCGCCTGCACTCCGAGACAAAAGGCTCACTGGTACAGACCAGAGCACAGATGAAGAAGGCGAAGTATTTCCCGAGGGCGGCTTGACAGCCTGGCTTGTCGTATTCGGTGCTTTTTGCGCCTTAGTGTCCGTTTATGGCCTGATCAACACAAGTGCTGTCTTTGAGTCATATTTTAAGGAGCATCAACTCAAAGATCACAGTCATTCGAAGATTGGCTGGATTTTTAGTTTATACCTCTTTCTTGTCTTTCTGGTCGGTGTTCAGGTTGGCCCGATCTTTGATCGATATGGACCCAGACTGCTTGTTGCAGTAGGGTGCGTTCTCGCCGTCGCGAGTCTCATGTTCTTGAGTGTGTCCAAAAGTAAGTACCGAATTCCCAAGTATTTTGCCATAAACAACAGATCAGAATGTGAAGCTAAATACCCTCTAGCCTACACTCAGATTATCTTGTCGTATTCCGTGGTCGGCGGGATAGGTGGTGCTCTCTTAAACGCACCTGCTTATGGAGCTGTTGCCCATTTCTTCAATGTTCGGCGAGGCGTGGCTACTGGCATCGCAGCTACAGCAGGCAGTGTTGGGGGAATTGTGTTCCCACTCCTACTTCGACATCTTCTTGGCCCCAATGGCGTCGGTTTTGCATGGAGCTGTCGGATTCTCGGGTTTATCCTGCTCGGACTGTCTGTTCCCGCTAATTTATTCATCAAAAGCCGCTCATCTATCCAGATGAGCAAGTCGGACCAATCACAAGCTGTAACTCTGTGGCCTGACCTCACAGTGTTCCGTGACCGTCGTTTCGCGGCTTCCTGTCTGGGTTACTTCTTTATGGAATGGGGCCTCTTTGTGCCGCTCACCTACATCATTTCTTACGGGGTTGCTTACGGTATATCTGCATCCCAAAGCTCCCTTTTCTTGGTCTATCTCAATGCGGGTTCAGCTCTCGGAAGATTCTTGCCTGGGTTTGTCGCAGACAAAGTTGGTCGGTTCAATGTTATTATCATTACCATTGCATTCTGCGCAATCACTGTGCTGGGACTGTGGCTCCCTTGCAATGGATCACCGTCGGTCCTTACTGCGTTCAGTGTACTGTTTGGAATTGTAAGCGGGAGCAATTTGAGCTTGCTTCCCGTTTGCCTCGGTCAATTCTGCGATGCAAGAGACTATGGTCGATATTTTGCAACTGCGACTATGGCCGCCAGCTTCGGGACACTTACTAGTGTTCCCATTGCAGGAGCTCTGATCGAAGTGGGCGACAAATACGTGGGCTGGATGTCATTAATTCTATTCGCGGGTTGTTCTTACACAGTGGCCTTGATCAGTTACGTGTCGGCTCGCGTTATGTCAGTCGGCTGGCAGCCAAGCACCAAATTCTAAATGTCTTTTTCTGTCTATCAAAACTCATTTATCGATATAGACGGAGGTATGTAGGAATTAGGCCTTAAACTACGGCAGGCAATTAACCCTCCTATGATATAGTCCATCTACTTTCTTAATATGGTCATACGTGAAGATGTCAGGCTATTTTTACTTACGTGGACTTTCCTTGCTTCCTTCTCTGCACCACCCACGCCGCAGCCAAGAAAAGCATGCCTAGAGCCAACGTCGTTCCCGCAAATGCTTGGGTACCGATATACTTGCCCTGGGCGGCGGACAGAAGCGCGCCCGCAATAGGGTTCCCCGTCAAGGCGGCAAAGCTGACGATAGTGAAGATCATTCCGAGCCTCGTCCCCTGCTTGCTGGGATCCGATGTCAAGGACGCTAATGCTGATGGGAACATGGCTTGGACACCACCTAGGGCAATACCGGTGAAGCAAGCCCAGAAATAGAGTCCAGTCTGAGAATCGACAGCTATCCAAGAGAGTATCATCAACGCTGCCAGCCCAGCAGTGGGAACGAACACTGTAAGGGCACCAATTCGATCTGCCAAATAGTTGGGTATAAGACGTCCAAGAACCCCAATACCACTCATTATCATAAGTAGGTCAAGCGACTTGGTGTAAGAAAAGCCACGTATGTCGCGAGCATACGCGGCGACGAAGAAAAAGGCGACGAATGTTCCCCAAAAGGACTGAGGGCTCCAATCAGCGTCCCTCCACATTGACAAGAAAAAGGCCGGTTACATACCAGGAATGCGCCGATAGCATAGTAGGAGTACTCCATTTCTTTGAACGCTGCCCACTCCACGAGACTGCCGGTCCTACGAGGCGGGATCCGTGACTTCAAGGATGCTAGCGCTACGACGAGGGACACTGCCTGAACGAGACCGATGACCCTTATCGTCCAAGCAAACCCAATACGCGGCAGTAATTCCCGAGCAATGCTGGGGAAAATCACCCCTCCCGTTGTACTTCCACAGGCCACGACGCCAATTGCAATAGAACGGCGCTTCTGGAAGTATGTCGATACAAGAGCAATACTTGGGCAGAAGAGACAGCCATTTCCCAGGCCCACACACACGCCCTGGGCTAGGAATATTTGCCAATATTGTGTGCACGCTGAAGTGACCAGAGTTCCGGTGACAACCAAGACAGCGCCAAAAATAGCGATGGGGTGAAAGAAGCCGCCATCAGTAAGGCGGCCGGTGAAGGTGCCGATGGAGAATAAGAAGAATATCTCAATGGAACCGATCCATGCGATGTCTGGTGGGGATCTGGAGAGAGCTTCCACATAATAGCTCTGGAAAACACCAAAGGAGTTGATCACGCCCCTATTTCCCGGTTAGCAGCTTGACAGTAGGTAGGTCTGACTAGCACAGCGTACCAAGTGTTCAAGACGACTAGGTGTGCTCCAAGAACTATGCCTCCAGATCAGCAGTCTGCGCTAGCCATAATAGCCCGGAGACAAGTCTCACCACACATCCAAGCTCGAAAGCCTCCGTCCGGAGGAGGTCCAGGGTCGATAGTTGTGCTCGAAGCGATACGACTTAGGACACGGGCTGCAATGGAGAGGTCGTTGATGTCGTTGGTTCGTGGAACTATATTCTGCTCGTACTGCGTGGAGCTAGTTTCTGGAGAATTGTCCTTTGATGTCTTTGCGTCTGGTAGCCACCCATTCTCGTTGTCGGTTTCTTCATTGCTTATAGTCTCATTCGCTTGGGTTGGTACACTCGGCCGTCTACCAAAACTGAAGCTTGCCATGGTGGCAATCGATGGCGTTCAAGGCACTTTGAAATCGAGGGCTTTGGAAAAGTTATGTCTTGTCTTACTCTGACGAATCGTGGGTCTTGTATCCCTTTGTTAACAGACTAAGCAATGTGGTCGAAAAGAAATCCCTGGGGAAGGGTGGAAGTGTATACTATCAAAGCACAAGTGTGTGAACGAAAGAAAATCTAGACCAGCATGGAATCTAGAGGGGGAAAGAAGTAGCTCCCCTCACTCTTCATGCGAAGGGGAACCAGGGACGACGCGCCCCCTCTATGTCAACGACGCCTTTGCCTTTGCCCAGCTTTACCCCCCAACAGTGCTTGGCGGGTCCGCCTTTGCGGCTTCGGCTTGAATTTGTCAGCAGTTCGGTGGTTGAAATTTGTCATTAGTCTTGTCCTCGGCAAAGTGGATGTGGAAGCGGTAATTCCAAACGACATTCGGAGGGCCAACAACGCGTTACAAAGCTCGCCATTTTCATGGAGGCCTCTTTCTGGGTCGCCTGGGTTTTGGGGAACGAAGTGGCGCTCAGGGAAGTTCACAGTCCCCGGCGTCGTAAAGAGTTTTTCAATGTTCGCCTTTGAATAGTGGTATCAGAATCATGTACATAGGTAGGCTTTAGGGGTCGTTGAAAGACTCAGTCGGTCGCTTCTTATAAAAGAAAAACTCCTATCAATAAATATGTTATCTTCTTAAACCCATATTAATCACCAACTAAGCCCGAAAGTTTCTGTTTCCACTCTTGTAGTGTCTGCTTCAACGCCGCCAACTGTGCGCGAGAACTGCTGAAATCCACTTCAAGGGTTTGATTCCTACTTCGCAGCGCCGTGGCTTCTTCGGAAGCACCACGTCCCTCGTAGGCCTGTCTGCGGAGGGCTATAAGTTCCTCGCGTGAGACCTGGGCCACATCTGCTTCCTTCCGTGCGATGGCAGTTTCCCTACGCTGGAGATCTGATTGTTGACTAAGTGTTCAATTCTGGAGGTTCTCTTGTTCGCAATACTTTGTACTTAGAAAATTAATTTTTCTTTAATAATTTTCACCGATCATTGTCTAGAATGTCTTGAACCGGGCCCCCCCTTTCCCGGTCACCGCTCTTGTCAGTATTCACGATTCCTCACCAATAGTTAGCCAGTTATTACCGTCGGCCGCCAACGCTGCCACATTATTACGGGGCCAAATTGGTAATCAAAGCCCGAGGGAACATTAGTAGAAAGTACTCCTCGTCTCGTCAGACTTCCGAGTTCTGACAAGTGAAGATAAATTTGTTTGCCGTTACCCGCCCTTCACTTTTTTGTCAAACCTTCAACAGCTCCTGTCTAACATGATCGCAAAGCAAAATCTCGCAGCCAGCTTCTGAAAGCCCCGGCTCGGCGGCCGAGCTTAGATGAGTAAGTAGAGTTAACATTGGCCGTCAACTTGTCATCACCACTGTCGCCGACTCAGATACAAACTCAATGCCAGCCATTTGCCGACGGTGATGATGTCGGGGACGAAAGGTCAAGGTAATTACCCATCAAATAATCCAATCCGAACCATGTGAGCGGAATGATTGCCAGCAAGAACCGATAAGGACAAAACCAGCTTCCCGACTCCAGACAATTCAACGAATTTAAGTATTGATTAATTCAAGTATCTCTAATATCAATTAAACCTTAACTTATACTAGTAATCTGGAAGTAAGGTGTGTCCATCTTGATCCTAACTTGGATGCAGAACGATCTTCGCGGTGGCGACAAGGTCATCAGAGATGTAATAATCTTTGCCGCCTGTGGCATGTTCAATAGCGCCTCGCTCGAGATCGCCATTGGAGTACGCAGCGGCACAAGCATCAACCGGAGCGGGATACCGTGGATTGGTATCATCAGCGGTTTTATCCTGACTATAATGCAGATTCAGGACCTGAAGGGTCAGATGGGCGATCACACACGGGGGCGCAAAACCGTGCCGCTTGTCCTGGGAGACAGAATTTCACTGTGTTCCATCGCCGTTTTTGTTGCTTTCTGGTCAGTCCTGTGTCCGCTTTTCTGGCAGACTGGGATGGTCAGCTTTGTGACTACTGCAACGTCGGGTGGGATCGTCGGGGCCAGGGTGCTGTCCAAACCGGCCAGTCGCAGAGAAGATGCCAAAACATGGAGGAGGTGGTGTTGCTGGACAATGGTGGTCTACCTGTTATCAATCATGTACCACACTGAGGTTTGAGTCGCGGCTCGATCCGCACCACCTGTGCTTATTGGTGAAATCCGATACGACGATGGACTACAACCCATCCGGTGTTGCATTTGCCGGTGGCATTGCACGTCTTACTGTTGGCATTCTTTCGAAAACAAAGCAGTGATTGGCCAAGACAGAAGTACCAACTCCTGTCACCCTGCAGCGTACCATTATGTCGTATGTGGCCAACAGGTCGACTATGCGACCCCAAGTTTAGTTGTACGGCACCACCATCAAGCCTTGGAAATTATGCTCGGCAAGGTGTGGCACGTCGATTATGACACAGCCATCACTGGCTTGGCATGTGCAAGTGTTCCATCACTAGCAAGCATTGCTCCGCAACTGATCGTCTACGGTCATAATTCTGGACGATCACCGCGGAGAGGTTGGTACTTTGGTTCCGACACAGCTGAGTACATTAATTTGGCCGTTGGCGCCTTGCCCGTGCATCCATGTCTGCCTATGACTACGGACACGGCCTGGGTGCGGGAGCATAACGCATGGTTCTATAGGAAGGCTATGAAGTAACGCGTCATGCCGGTATGTGCTGTCTTTTCTTCTCGTCATGCTGTTTTGCAACCTCCTCATCTCGACCATTGGATTATCGAGTATTCTCTTGTCTTCTTATATTTCCAACTTGTTGAACGGTCGTCGCACCAATTGACGACTTCAAGCCTTGTTCTGCAACTTGCGTCCAACTCAGGAATCGAAAAATAAGAAAAATGAGCTCTACCTCGTTTGACTTCGTGATCGTCGGTGGAGGCACAGCAGGGCTCGTGGTGGCATCACGCCTGTCCGAGAACCCGGCCCATCGCGTGCTTGTCCTAGAAGCCGGCATAGAACATATTGACGACTCGAATGTCAAAACTCCAGCTTTCTATGCCGGCTCATTTCATTCAGATTCCGACTGGGACTTCAAGTCGGAGCCCCAGGTGAGTTGATAATGCCGAGTCATTGAATATCTCCCATGCTGATGCCTGTGAAGCCTCAACTCAATGGGAGGACGATTAACCTACACCAAGGCCGCGCTCTTGGAGGCTCCAGCACCATCAATGCTCAGGTGTTCGTTCCCCCAGGAAAACACGCTGTTGATGCCTGGGAGGAGTCTGGGAATCCGGGATGGAATTGGCAGGGTCTTGAAGCTTATTATGCCAAATCTCATACATTTCCAGGAGCTACCAAGACGACCGATGGACAATCACCCCTGGAGCAGACTTCCCGCGGTCCAATTCAGGTTTCGCTGCCCGGAGACCCTCTTCATCCTATTCATGAAGCTTGGAAAGGGACCTTTGAGGCCCAGGGGCATTACGTATCCCCAGATCCTTGGCTCCGCGAACCTACTGGTGCCTTTAGCTGCCTTGCAACGGTAGACGGCTCGACTAAAGAAAGGAGTTACGCAACCAACGCCTATTACAGACCCGTCGCGCACCGCAACAACCTTAAAGTCATTGAATATGTAGTCGTGGAGCGAATTATTTTCGAAACGGATGGTCCAGCCATTAAAGCTACTGGGGTGCAATATCGTGATAATGATCTGAGCTATGGTGCCACAGGCGTGAAGAATGATGAGATCCATACTGTCACAGCCGTGAAGGAAGTCATTCTTGCCGCGGGTGCTCTACAGTCTCCAAAACTGCTGGAGCTGTCAGGAGTCGGCAACCCCAGAGTGCTCAGCAGCAACGGCATACAGGTGGTCAAGGAACTCCCCGGAGTTGGGGAGAATCTGCAGGACCATATAGTCTGCCCTATTGGTGTACGAGCCATAGATGGAATAGACACCATGGACCCGCTTGCAAGAGAGGAGGTAGATGCCTTCCTCTCTGCAACGGAGGAATACAAAACGCACAAAACGGGTATACTAGCATCTTCTGGCATGACTACGTACGCATATATACCTATTACTGCAGAACTTCCACGAGACGCCAGTGAAGATCTGGAGAAGCTTCTACACGAGAACAAACCTGGAGCGGGAAATGTCCATGGGAGCCTCGCTGAGGATCTCCACGGCTTTTTTGCCAAGCTTCTCGCCGACCGCACGAAGCCGACTGGGGTCTTTCTCTCTGTACTCGGTCAAGCTGGACCAACTCCCGTGCCGGGCACTTGGCTCACGCTGGTCGCCTATCTTCCCCATCCACTCTCTCTGGGCAGCGTCCACATAAGATCCAAACAGGCCTCAGAAAATCCTGGAATCAATCCAAAGCATCTATCTCATCCTGTAATAGATCCAAAGTATCTATCTCATCCTGTCGACATCGAAATACTTGCACATCAAATGAGGTTCTTAGGGAACTTTGCAGCTTCATCGCCATTTAGCAAGCTCCTGGAACAGCCCCTGCAGTACCTGGATCCAGCCTCGAATTTCACCGACCTGGACAAAGCCAAAGAATACATTCAAGCTAATGCGATCTCAATGTGGCATTATGCCGGAACATGTGCGATGCTCCCCGAGGGGAAAGGGGGCGTCGTAGACGCTCAGCTCAAGGTACATGGTATCAACAATCTTCGGATCGTCGACTCCAGTGTAATCCCAATTATCACCACAGGGAACCTACAGTCTACTGTATATGCCATTGCGGAGAAAGCAGCAGATTTGATCAAGGCCGATTATGGTGAAGTTTGAGTCCTCGTTCCCGATAGCTGCTAGATTTCTGGTGCTTGTATCTGTCGAAGCGATTAAGATCGGTGCGGGAAGCTCGCCACTTTCCTTAATGCAGAGCTCATTGCTACGTATTCGGTTGACCTAAATGATTGAAGTGTTGAATAAGAATTGGCGCCGACTGTTCCCTTCATTCGTGCTGGACGGGGAGACATTTGAAGGCTTCACCACACATGTCATCTACATATTCATAGTCGTTCATTTACGAAGAGTTTGGAAATTCTCCTAGCGTCTGGCTTAACCTTTGATACACATGAGCGGTAGTCTGACTGATCTTCGATACCAGGTAGTGCCCCCCAAGCGTTTGCTGTACAATGGTGGTATGAGGTGTACATAGTTGTATGAAGTAAGCACGGCTTGGTTTCAAATACATGACCATGGTCGATTGCTACACTCGTCTTACTTTTCCCCACCCTCTTTGTAGCTGCACACCTCGGGGCCTCCTCCGGGAAACCCCAGGTAGTATTCATTCACATTGCTACCCTCCCGTAGGCCCTTGGAATTAACAGCAAATCCTTTGGTCCTCAAATGTTCAAAAGGGCCCTACGACGGCGATCAACTGCCACACTAGTCGTGTGCTAGAGGCTTTGTGACCACGTCATTTTGTCCATTATTTCTTCAGAGGCTTACCTCCGCTCCTATATTTGACGCCCACAAATCCTACAACCGCGGGGCCCCTCTTCGTTTATCGTCCCATCGATCAACTCCGTACCGTGCTGACATATTCAGATCCAGGGTACTTTGAAATGCCACTTTCCTCGGGTGCTCTGAAGGTGACGGTAATCTCGTCAATTTCGTCCTTCCTGTCTATACTTGCTTTAGCTCTTCGATGCTGGTCAAGGTACATAAAGAAGACAGGATTCAAGTTCAATGACTATTCTGCTATAGCAGCAACTATACTAGCTCTCGGTGGCGCAGGTGTCATTCTTGCAGGTAGGATGACCATATCCCCATGCAAATAGATTAGGCTGCTTACTTATTATGATAATTAGATGCAATCGTCGGCGCAACAGGCGTGCATGTTGCAGATATCTTGGCAAATGACCCAAGCATACTGGACATCTATTTCAAGGTCAGCCTCTATTGACATTAATCTCTGCCAATACTGATGTTGGGCATTGTCTAGTTGATAGTTCCGGGCCAGCTACTTTGGGCGGCAGCGAACACCTGCGTCAAACTGTCAATCTTATCGCTTTACACCATCTTGTTTCCAGTCAAGCGGTTCTGCTACCTTTGTTATATCGCTATTGCTGTCACTTTGTGTTATTTTGTAAGTGTAGTTGTGGAAACGTTTGCACTGTGTACTCCAGTCGAGTTCAACTGGGATAAGAATATTCCCGATGGCAACTGCGAACATCAGAGCGCCGCATTTCTTGGTGCCGCTATTACCAATCTTCTTATCGATGCATTCATCGTCGCATTGCCAATGCCGATGCTATTCGGACTGCGAATGTCCCTCCAGAAGCGGCTAAGCATCGCAGGAATGTTCGGTCTTGGAGGAATGTGAGTCGGATCTGCCCACATCCCTTCACCGTTATATCTAATGGAGACATAGAATATGTATCATTTCAATGCTGCGCGTCATATCGGTCTCTCAATGGGATTTGGATGACGTGACATACGCGACAACCGACGTGTCGATCTACTCCGTCTTGGAGCCTTGCCTCGGTGTGGTCAACGCCTGTCTCCCGACAATACAGCCGGCCATCAAACGTATCTTCGGAGATGCCGTAGCAAGTTGGAGCTCGCATGACTCGCAAGGCACGCCGATAGATACAAAGATCTCCAGAAACCGCGAGCGTCAGAATGCCCAGTATATAAGAGACCATAACTTCCGACGCCTCGAGGACGACATTCCCCTGACCACCATACGCAGCGATCACGGCGGCGATTCCGATCAGAACAACAACGGGAACGCCATCACGGTCACTCGGCAATGGGAGGTCGATAGCTCCTAAGGTCCTGTGAGACCAAGAAGTGCCTTTCAAGGTAATTTGAGCACTGTCCATATACTTGACTTAATACATGGAAAACACCTTGCTAAAGTTTGCACACTTCCTTGCTGGAGAACTCTGACTGGCTCTTGACGAGGCATCATGACAACCATAGCTGTAATCTCATTTGACGTATGCTCAAGTGGATCGTGTTAGGGCTACCACGGATGGGCCTTTTCTTTGGAGACAGCTGGTTATATTGGCATAACATGGACCCTTGCTGGCCAGTACGCTATCCAGCTTTGCTAGAGTATGTTTGGTATACGGAGCTTCGCGTATTCGCCAGTGAGCATTAGGTCACGCCGAGCAAGCATACATGGATTTTGGTATCACTACGCCTTCACATGCCTTCCTCAAGTCCTTGAATTCCAATCCCCATGTTGACCTTCCGGGGCTGCCTTGAGCTGAGATGGTCTTAGTCGCTTTGCGTTGTATCTCGTCAATGTGTTGCTAAGCTAACATTATTGTTGCGATATCCCCTGATCAAAATCTCTACCTTCTTGCTTGTTCTCGACGACAGTTGGATAGTCTGTTTTGGAATTCTTCAAGCCGTCCTAAGTTTTACCTGCATACTTCGCATCAGCCCGAGCCGCTTCGTTTCGAAAATCAACTTGTGTCTCACCAGTTTTGCCCCTATTGCATTAAAAAAAATCGACTTCACCTCGTCGTCACTACAGACGTTGGGTTGTACTTGAACAAGCGTTGTCTTGAATGTCTCGAGGTGACTCTGGCGTTCAGACCGAATGAGACGTGTAGAATGATCCCATGACTTTTCCTCGGCAAGTCTATCCGCGTAGCGATTGGCCAGCGAGATGAATTGCTTCCGACTCTCGACTTTGACTTTATTGCTTGTAACAACTTTCGCTTGGTTTGGCTTGTGACTTGTCAAAAGACTTGAGCTTGCCACTTGATTGGAGGATGGTCGCTTGTTTTGAGGGTTTGCTACGTGGAGGCTCCGGTCTGGAATGTCGATCTTTGTCTGAGCATGGCGGTCATGCTGCGTCAGGGGCAGGGTGTTCGAGTTGGAAGTATTTTGCTTTTCTTTTTCAGAGATTCTTGATACAGGATTGTGCATCTTGATTCTTCCGTCTTTAATTTGGTGAGAAGGGCGTGTGGCGTGTGGTGTCGCAGTTGCCACGAGGCTAACACCACCATCAAAGGTGACTCTTTTCCTTATTATTATTCGCATGAATCGAGAGCCGAGCGATTTGTTTATAACGGTATCCTTCTCTCTGAGGACACGAGTCTGCGCCGTAGGACAAAACACCAGTGCTTCTCCCGTTTGTAGCTCTGTGATAGACTGGAAGACATCTAACTCTTGCTGTGGCGAAGCACTACCGCACTTTCCCATGGCACCAGTGAGGTGACCTTTGAGGGTGCGGAACCAAGCAGGAGACGAAAATCGATGTACAAATGTCGCGTTCGAGAGGTCGATTAGTGTTGGTGAGAGGGTTGGTTCTTGCGTGGCTATGAAGACTCGCGTGCTGATGTGCCGTTGTTGTCTGATAACCGAGGTGAGATCTTCAGTCAGCACATTCGCTGCTCCAGATTGTGTCATAAACTAAACCGTCAATCTTTAGTCTCCTTCTAACAGAATAACAATCAGATGCTCGGTACCTTGTGAGCTTCATCTAAAGCTACCACCCGACTACAGTTGGATCTTTCCTCCAAGAAGATCGATAGGCATATGGAGAACAAACTGCACGCGTCGCCAGATGATAGAAAAGGATCGCTGAGGTCTACGATTGTCAAAGTGCCAGGCTGGAAATCCCATATATCCTGTTCGGCAGCGCTTGGTTTCTTCAAATGGGGCGTCAACTCTGGTGTTAGAAATGTATCGAGTAACTGGAGCCGCATATTGAGCGCCGTCTCTTGGTCTCGAAAGAGTTTCGTTGCCGACAGCCTGTCTTTAAACAAGCTGTATGTGAAGTGGCTACCTTCCATAGAGATCTCGCGGATGATTCTAGTCACAACTTCCATGTACAACGGCGTACCACTCCCGGTTGAGTCAAATGCCATCAACTTTAGCATAGTTGAGATGCTGAGCTTCGAGTCATCCAAATACAATGGCACCACTTGAAGGTGATATCGTTCTTCTGCGATACCCGGGACATCACGATACATGCGATCCATGTTCCATATGTTGGACGGGGCGACAAGGACTTTGACAGGAATCCCTGCCGAGCAAAGATATGCAGCTTCACAAATCTGCGTCGCACTTCCACTTGTAAATTTATCGAAATGGAAAACTAAGCCTGCCATGGGATGGGAAAGCGTCCCTGTTGGGTTGTTATGAATCAGGCATGCTTCAAGCAGGCATGAGAGAGTATGACTCTTGCCAGCACCTTGGGAGCCACATATGAAAGCTGACCAAGGAACATTCATGTTCGCCATGATAAGCTGGTCTTCAGGTGCGGTCGCCAGCTCATCGACATCTTCGCGGGTGCCGATCAGCCCGTACTGCGGTATAAGCTGAGCGTTGGACATTCGACACGAAAGTTCCTCGGCGGCAGTTTGAGCTGCGAGGGAGAAGAGAGGCGCATTTTCGAAAGCATCACATTGCCTTTTGTCGCTACTTGCGGATACTTGGCTGTTTAAGTGAGAACTTGCTGTATAATTGAGGAAACGCTGGATGTCGGTCGCTTTGTGTGAAGTTTTAACATCTTTTTTTGCCCCGTCTTGGCGAAAATAGGAGAAAATTGACATGGTGAGAGATTTCTCGTTATATAAATTCAAGAGGTTGAAGTCAAAATAAAACAAAGTGTATGATGTGTGTTGTTCGAAGGTTCAAAATTTGCAATACAGGATATAGCCTTAAGCTTTCACGGCTCATATAACTGAGAGATAAGATCTCGGGGTGCAGTCTACGTCAGCACGCGTTCACACGCGGTCGAAGCTTGAGATGAAACTTACTTGCCGCCTGAATCATCGTAAGAGTAATTCTCCAAAATAGAGTTCGAGATGATCTCTCTGATGTCTGCTGTTGTCGGATATATCACGGGCTAGACTACACTAGACGAAAGGATGATATAATAGCGTGAAACTCTCTGATCCGGGCATCCGTAGGTATAAATGATTTTAGCATGACCATGCTTGTTCAGAATCCGATCAGGGAAAGATTTGCACCGAATAGGCTCCTATGGACACTATCATCCGCATGCTAAGAGACCGGGAGGTGATGTGGCCGGATCTGGATGGCCGTCCGATGCATGCCTTTCTCTGCTTTTTGTTGTGGCACGCTCCTCCAATTGATACGTTAGGTTCTCATAGTCTATTTGGGCCATCAATCTTTTACGTGTGAGTAAGTTGTTCGCCAAACTCTGGCACCACCTCTTATTCGTACGCCGCCTTGCGTGCTGCATTGGCAGTAATGGAGAGCATCCACAAGGGTATAGTCGCCGGACTGGCGAGAGTGTACCGTAGAGGGCCTCACAGCCACATCTGGGGTGAGGGATCCCGTGCCGGTGCCAGGAGAGTGTGGACGATGGCGTTGAAGAAGGGTTAGAAACATTACGTTTAACATTATACCTGATAGAACGTCAAAGGTTAAGCAGATGAATAATTTAGCATTGGAGGGAAGGGCTGGCTAGACTCATTCAACTTGCAGGTCTGCGACTGCATTCTCCTGCTCCAGCCGGGCTGCTTTCAACAGGTCAGTGCTCCGCACACATTGTGCTGACTGAGTAGAGCAAACTGTATCTACTGTACACTGATAATACCTATCCGGGGTCCTATCAGATATTTATAGTTCTGAATAATAGTATAAGATTTTAATCCCAGTCTGCTAGATATTATAAAGCAGATAAGGTTTTTCCGGATAAATTCACTATATGATTTTATTGATATATTTAGTCGTACGGATTTAGCCCGTGATAGATACCCCTAGATAAAAATCGACTTTGTTATAAAGGGCAGGCATCATATGTCGATGATAATCACCAACTGGATGCCAGATAAATATCACAAGTCCTAGAGTTACTTGCCAAGGGAATGCCGATCATAAAACTCATTTGGTGGTGGAGTCTAGATCCAAACCCTCAACGAGCCTAGGGAATTGCCTGATAAAGCTCTGCGAGAGTCCCCAACCATCTTGATGCATGAACCGTTGGAAAAACTCGGGCTTCATCGTGAGATCGCCCTTGCTACTGAGTATAAGAACTCTCTCATCGTCAGGCCATCTAACACGCAAGCTGTGCGAGAATGCACTGAGTACATCAGGTATATCATGTTCATCAAAGTGGATGATCATGTCGGCTCTAATCTCTCCCCAGAGCATGATATCATCAATAAAGCCTTGGTGCGGAAATTGAAGCTGCTCTGGCACGGGCTTTAAGTAATCGGGTAGACGCGAGAAGCGTTCGACGGTCGGATCCGTCCGCCATTTCAGATAAATGTAAATTAGCCAACCAATGATAACCCTCTCAGCATCATGCAGACACATTTTTTTAGGACATCTGCTTATACAATCTGCTAAAAGGTTTCTCTTCGATCCGTACAAGAGATCTTGAGCATATGCAAGCTGGGGGGCTGTCGCTATGTGATGTCCTTCAGTTTCCCACGGCAAGTAAAATTTAGACAAGGTGGTGTTGCTTCTGATCGTAAAGGGCACACGCGCCCAATTTGGAGGCTCAGTCGCTAATGAGTCGCTAATGGGTGACGCCTAATCGAGCCTAGAAATAGGGTCGAAGTCTGAGACTCGTTGACTAAGGAGTCACATATTTGTTGTTCCTGGTCTCGGTTTATTGAGCGCGAGGAGAAATCACTCAACTTCTTGGACCCCGAATCAAGGTCGTTGAGGACCTCCGATGTCAGGGTTGACCAAAAATCCGAGTCAGGTACGGATAATTCTAGGTTACCTGGAGGCGTGTTGGTTGAGGGGTGCTGAGAGCTGCAATTAGGTGGACTAGCCCAGCTGCTGCTATCGCCCATGGCCGCAAGAGTCACAAAGTCGAGTATTACATCCT